GACAGCAGCTTCTGATTGCAGCACACAGTGTTGGAAGCTCTCTCACCCCCCATCCTTAAAAGATTTGCTTGTGGGCCCTCCCTGGTGGTGAAACAGGTTAGGATGCAGCACTGTAAACTAGCGGCAGCCGCTTCAGTGCCAGTTTGATTCCTGACCCGCCCGCTGCTCCCCTCAGCAGTGTACTTCATCAGTCGGCCTGTTCTGCTCCCCACTCTGTCTCTGGTGAATCCTTTCATTGCCCCTGTGCTTCTGGCCTATAATCTAGTTCTGTATGAATAAATAAATCTTTTTTTTTTATTAAAAAGTTTATTTTTACATTTTTTTTTCATCTCAATTGTGATCCCCACGGGTTTCCCATCACCAAATCACCCCTGTGCCACCACCATAGTCCCGTGCATTAAATAAATAAATCTTTAAAAAAATTGCTTGCAAGTATTTCGTCCTGATTGACTGGGAGCTCACCTGGAGGTTCAGCTGGCACCTGTGGCCCAAAAGCTTGGCGGGCCTGGGGGTTCTATTGTTGGGTCAACCTCAAACCACCCGCCCACACCCTCACCTTCCCCCAGATGGTCCATCCCAGCCCCTACTGAAGACTGCAGGAATCTTCAAACCTGAACATACCCCTTTCAAAACAGAACCAGTCCTGGCCCTGTAGCCAGGCCCCCACAGAGCCACACGCCCCGGGCAGGACCCTCTGCCTGACACCTGAGCAAACCACTCCACCACCCCACTGGTGCTCCTACCAAGTGCCATCCTTCTTCATCACAAAAACTGGGGCTTCCCTGGTGGCCCAGGGGTTAAGTCCCAGCCGGGGAGCTCACCCACATGGTGCAGGAGACCTCCCCTGTCTCCCTGCCTCCCACCTCAGCAGTGGATTTCAGTAGGTCTGCCTATCTGCTCCCCACTCTGTCTCTGGTGAAGCCTCTCACCCCCTGCACCTCTAGCCTACACCCCAGTACTTCTACACATACATACACAAAGCAAAAGTGGAAACAGACCCATTCATTTTCTCAAAACCCTGGCCCTTAAAGCAAAACCAACATAAAGACAGAAAACAAGTAGGAGCGTCTCGGGAATGTCGTTGTTGTCTTTCTTGACTTGGGCAGGGGAGGCTGGTGGGGCCTGCTTTGCTGCTGTTTTGTAAACTATACATACTTGTTTTCATACACTCTTACACGCATGCCAGGATTCGCGCCCAAAAATTGCCTTTCTGGATAAATGCATCTGGAATGTACTTCGCTGTGTTTCCTTCTCTGGAGGAGATCCCTACAAATGGGGAAAAGGAACCCCTGCACCCTCCATAAAGGCTGTGCACCAGCAGCCAGACTCATACAGGATTCAGCTGCGACTTTCCTTCGGTATCTGGCTTCTAATTGCTTTTCCTGATCTGAGCTCTGAGCAGGCAGGTCGACGCATGGTGTGAATGGAAGAACATAAGCTGGAAGGCGAATGAGTCAAAAGCATTTCAAACCAAGACAAACCAAAACCATAATGGAATTTGGAGTCCCCCCCCCTTTTCCTTCTGGGAAAAATATTAATACTGTTCAGAAATCCGTGGGGAAATTACTCTCAGGGGCTTTTGTGAGGGGAAAGAAAACCTCAGGGGAAGGTCCTGGGCCAGTATGTCCAGGCCCTTCCTTTCAGGAAAGGCCCAGTTCCTCCAGTCACAGGGAGGGTGGGAGTGGGGTCACTCCCCTGCCCTCTGGCTTCTCAAAGGCGACAGGCAGAACCAGCTGATGCTTATGCTCAGCCAATCGCCCGGGCTCAGCAACATCCACCACAAGCTGCCTTTCTCACAGAGATGTGAGCCCCGTCCTTCTCTCCAGCCCCCCACTCCAGCTCCTCTCACACTGGAGCTGAGCCTTGCTGGAATTCCCACGTACATTTGGTTGACCAAACTCTTTATGGCTGGTACTCCTGGCATCTCCCCGCGGCTAGCAGGGAATCGGGAAGCGAAGCAGCAGAGAGGTATAAGGACAGAAAGCAAGTAGCTTGGGAATGTCAGTGTTGTCTTTCTTGACTTGGGCAGGGGATAGAGGTGGGGTCTGCTCCATCATTGTGCAAGCTGATGACAAATGAATCAAGACATGAATTCAAGAGGATATAACAGGAATCCAAGCCACATTGGCTGGCAATGTGACTGGATTGGTGGGTTCCGGTCGCAGGAGTGTCAGCTGAGATCTCCCCTGAAAGAGACACCCATGTGTGGAGCAGCAGAGAGGGTCCCCAAATTACCTTCAGGAGCCTCTTGGGGGTAAGGGGCAAGTCCAATTTCAGTTGCTCCTTTAAGATTGCTGCTTAACTGTTTTTCCTTCTTTCCCCTGTCCCTCCCCACCCCAAACCACAAGTCCCAGAAGACAGCAGCAGAAATTTACAGCACAGAGTAAGCTCAGCACTGCAGGACCATAGAGAGAGACCACAGGACTCTCTAAGGCCTCTGCCACTAATTAGGGCGTCTTGGTGGAGACTGAAATTCTCTCTCCATCTCACCCCATCTCCAAAAGAAGCCTCAGATAAGTGCCTCTTTCTCTCATTTTTTTAATCACGATGATTTCCTCTAATGCACTTTGTCTATCACAATGCCCAGAGGGGCATGAAAAATAGAAATGGGGACCAAGAGACCAAAGGCTCCTATTCTGAAAAGTTGAATGTGAACACAAAAGCAGGCTAGAGCTGCTGGTCTGCTTGAGTCACACACAGGTGTGTGGTAGGAGGCGTCAACAGTTTTTTCCTCTTTGGTACCACCACCACATCCAAAACAAGCCTACCACTCGCCAACTCCAGGGCCAATCGTGGAATTTTTCTACGTTTAGAAAACTGTGCCAGCCGTGAAAACCGCTTTTCCAGCCTTGGAAAACAAGTTTGGACACACTCCAAATACTTCCAAACACACTCCAACATTTCCCAGCCCTTTCCCCCGAGAAAAGGTGAGAAAAGTTGAGTGTTCTGCCTGAGATCACGCTGCACATCAAATCACAATGCACCCCCCCCCAAGTTCTCGTCTGGTTCTGAAGTCCCTACCCTGTAAACATGTTATGATAGAAAACAGACAGAGATAAACAGGAAAGGCCCTGCCCGTCCCCTGCTCGCTCTGAGAAGCAGCAGCTATGTCTGCTCCTCCTCGCTGTTTTCTCCTGCCAACTGTGATCGACCTCGGCGGTTTGTTTGGGGGCTAGAGACATCAGGGGTTCCTTTTCTCCCATCTGCCCTCAATTCTGATTCAGGCCAGTTCAACACTTAACATCATGTGCAGAGTTGTTCCCCTATCGGCTCCGGCCAGAATGAGGGTGTCACCAAAAAATAGAGAGAGATGATCCAGGAAGGCGTAGATAAACCAGCTTCTGAAGGCAGCTTTATCTACAGAGACAAAGACACGCAGCCCCCACACCACAACCAGCCCACCTTCCCTCATGAAGGCGAATGAATGGAGGCTGCAGAGCCCAGGCTACCTAGGTTGGGACCTGAAGGGCCCCCAAGGTGCTTCTCAGAGATGCAGGGTGAGGGTCCCGCTTGGTCAGGGTTCGCAGGACAGGCTCATCCGGGTCAGCCCCAAATGAAGCTGAAGCCTGGAAAGGAGGCTGGCCTTCTCCTCAGGATTAAGGGCAGCCCTTCCCCTTCCCCCTCTCACTTAGAACAGGAACCATACCTCCTGACCACACAGGGTGGGTTCAGGGCTGGCAGCTGGGGCAGGCAGCAGGGACACCCTGGGCCTCACCCCACGAAAGCACCGGCTGCCAGTGGCTGCCGTCCAGCGGGGCTCATCTTTAGACACCAGCCTGGCCCCCAACTCCCGAAAAGGACAGCGGCGGAACCAGAGGTCACACTGGAATAACTATTAGAATTTTTTTTAAGTACGCACAAGGGATGACTGTGCCCTTCTCACCCCTCCCCAAGGACCACAGGCAGGTAACGCGCACACACACAGGTAAGAGCACACTCACCTGCACTCTGACTTCCTGACTCTGCGCCTCTCAGGCCAAATGAGGAATGTCATTGGCTCATTCTGGTGAGCTCCTTGGTGGCCGCTGCCATAGGATACAGGCTTTATTTAACATAACGAGTCCTTTCACTCCCCTAGCCCAGACCTTGCACCCCTTCCAGAGATTTCTCCCCAAGGCATCAATCTCCAAGGGATCTACGCTCCTTCCTTGGGCTGACATCTCGCTCAGCCGGGTGGTTAGCTGGCTTGAGAGGTCTGAGTCTGCAGTGAGAGCTCCAGCAAAGGTGCATTATTTATCTCAGCTGCTGTTTTAATTAATATAGAGATACATTCAATATGCTAGACAACTGTCTCGGCAATCTCAGGCTGCAGAATAATCGGCTCCCAGCTGCATGTGCCTGGCTCTTTCAGATTCTGGCTCTTAACTGCCGACTCAGCGAGTGTGCAACTTGAACCTCCGCCCCAGCCAGCCCAAGCACTCTCGGCCACCTGTCAGTCCTCCACCCAGGGGGCTGGTTCAGCAGGCAGGCTGCGATCTCCAAGCACTAGCTGAGCCTCTGGCTCCACCTAATGGCAAGAAATCCACACTCCCCTTTCACAGATGGACAAACTGAGCTTCATCCAGAACGGTCCCAAAAGGAGCAAACAAATTGAGCAAAGGAAACGCATGGTCCTTTGCTGGGCCTCCCACGCTGTAATTTTCTTCCCCTACCGTCCTACAGGAGGGAAAGTGATGTCAACTTTTAGTTAGCATCTTGGATTTTTCTCAGCCCTTTGTCTGCGAATAGCACTTCACACACATTATTCAAACAATCTCGGCTGGGTGAGTCACTAGAACGTCTGCTGAATAATGAGGAACAAACAGAGGCCTGAAATGGAGCTGAAAGACAGAGGCACAAATGGTACCTGACGTCCTGCCCAGGGTGCTGGCGAAACATTCGCTCATCCTCTCTGACCTTTGCCTGGCTTCCTCATCGCTTTTATCCGGGGAAAGCACTTTTGCGCGGGGCGGGGAAAGCTAAGTCGCCGGCTGGCTTGCCGGGGGAGGGTCTGCGCTCACCTTTAAATCAGGAGGCTTGCTTCGGGGCCCCGGGTTGGGCGCCGCCGCGGCGCCCGCATCTGAAGTTGGCCCGCCTGCAGAGTTAGCACCCGCGGCCTCCCCAGGCCGGAGGTCCGCGCCCGGCAGGTGGCAAACGGCATCTTCCAGCCCAGGTCCATCCTCCTCACCCTGCTGTTGCTGCAGCTCGTCCGATTTGCACCTCTTCATGGTCTAAGTGGGTCGACAAGGGGAATCTGTCCTTCCAGCGCGCCGTCTTGGGGGAGACCGCACACCCTCTTACTCTGAGAAACGAGGCCCGGGGTCTAAATTATTAACTTGGAGGGGAGTCAGCGGACCACGATTGCTTGAATTAAAAAAGAAGCCGTTTAAAGGTGGGCAAGGGAGGGGCGAGGAGGCGAGCCTTGGTTACAGCTTGCAATAGTTCATTACGACCTGGGGCGCGAAGATGGGTCACAGTGGACGCTGGGCAGCGGGAGTCCTTGGGCAGTCATTGCAGCGGGAGGAGGTAGCCAGCCCCCGCACCCCAAACTTTCTGCTTCAGGGCATGGGCAGGGCGGAGGGCAGCTGGGCGGCACCGCGCATCCCTCCCGGCCGGCTGGGCTGCTGGGCGCGGCTG